TTTTTTTTTTTTTTTACTGTTAAATGAACACACACCCATATAGGTCTGTGTGTCCATATACGAATCCAACGTCAAAAAATCCAATGACTGCAATCGAACTTATTGGTTTTTACTGATCTCCCACCAAACTTAGATTATGATTGTCAATAATAATAATAATAATAATAATAATAATAATAATAATAATAATAATAATAATAATAATAATAATAATAATAAATTTATCATGTATATGTCAACTCTTATCTCTAACTTGAAAATTTGTATTTATTTCTAAATTAATTGAAAAATATAATGTATATGTCATCTCTTATCTCTAACGTTTGAATACCATATTTTTACTAGAAAAATGTGTAAATGGAATTAAGTCAACTTTTTGCGAAGATGAATCTAATCTAGGGATAGAAACAATATATGTTAGAAAAAAAAAAACCAAAAGGTAGCAAAAAATAAAGGTTGTAAATGGTAGTATTACTCTCCAAAAACATTATTTCTATTATTATTATTATTGAATTAAAATAGTTGGTTCGTCATTACATGTACGCGTATGCTTATGATTCGGTGATTAATTCTATTTTCCCTTTAAATTTTTCTGTCCATAAAATAAACTAATAATTGTGTATGTTTGTGTGTGTATTGGCAATTTGGGCATCGACATGAAAGGTTTTGCTGTCATGCTACGTATTTTTTTTTGTTTTTCACTCCTTTACTCTCATCACCCATTTTAAATCAACTATATTATTATATCAACATCTCCTTCTCACTTATTTATTATTTAATTTTGAGCTCATTTCAAATTGTAGAATTGTTTATTTAAGGATAACTATGACGTTTTCAGTTGACTTTCACTTTTAATAATTTGACAAAGTTTAATTCAGTTTTCATCTGACTCCTAAAATCATATATATGATACAATATATATTGCTGAACGACTAGCTCGTGTGCTCGACTCGGCTCGGTTTAAGCTCGTTTAAGGTTCGGTTAAATATTAATTAGGAAAGATATATATATTTTATGTTCGATTACATTTATCGGCTCCTTAACTTAAAGAACCGAACTTAATCATGCATTATTTTCATTTTGATTGGGGGAGGCAAGGCAATTATTCCCTACCGTTGACTTCCAATTATCACTAGTTATATTAGAAAATTAATGTATAATAACAATTAAAATAAATAAAATTATGCTACCAACTAATGATAATTGAGTAATTGACTACCCTAGCTAGCTTGCGTACCCAGAAGTAACATCGCACTTGATTTAAATTTAATAACTATCTTATTTCCATCTTTTAATTATTATTATTATTATTATTGATTTCCCTAAAAAAACAAAACGAGCGATTGAAAGTCGCATTTTGGAATGTGGACTACTTGCGGACGTCTTATCAATTATGGCAAAAACTGGCAATAATACAAAGATTAGGTGAATGAAGAGAGGAGAATTAAAATGCATGAATATGAATTCTTTAATCATCGATCACCTACAACAATTCACTAAATATCTAATTAATTATGTAATAATCGCTTCTTTTTTTTTTTTTCTTTTTCTTTTAAGTGCTAGGTTTGTTCTGTTTTACAATGAATGGGCTGCTCAAGAACGAGCTCGGCTTAATTCGTTAAGAATAGAAAGTTACCTCATTCATTTTGAGATTTGAGATTATGAATCTTAACTAGCTATACTTGAGAAGCATGAAAATTATGATCTTTTATGTTATTTTATAGTACTATTGCAATATTAATCTTGTTGCTTGTAGTAGACAATCAAAATGTGTGCCATTTTTATATACTTTTTTTTTTAATATTATTTTGTGTTTACCTTTTTTCAAATATTCCTAATTTCAACAATAAAATTGTATGCATAATTTTTTTTTTGTATTAAATATTTATGACAAGATACAATTTTATTTAGACCTTGAGATGTGATATTTAAATATAATTATTTTATTTTTGTTATTTTTATATAATTTTAAAAGATAAAAATAGTAAATATATATATATAAATATAAAGTCCAAATCATTGAATAGTACTAATCCAATGAGCTAGAAGATTGGGCCGGCCCGAGGATTAAATTTATAACACTCCAAATCAGTCTAAGTTTAGATGAAAGTAAAGTAAAGATGACTGAACTTGTTTGTATCTATATTTTTTTTTTGTTCAGTTACAAGTTACAACATGCACCACTTGAGCTACTAACCTATAAGATAACATTTTTGTTCTCCTAATTTTTTTGTGCTTCCAACTTGATGGATTTGTTTTAACTTTTACCCATAAAAACATTAATTTAAGTATCTTTAGCTCATATTTTGCGGGCAAAATTCTACTGAAATGTCAGCAATGTAACAGAATGTATTGCCATTTATGGTTCAAGAACACAGCACACAGTAGATGGGGTATGGGGCGAAAGAAACCCATATAGAAAGAACAAACTGGTGATTGATATTGAAATTATAATGCCAGCTTGTCTTGAACTGTATATCCCCCTCTTTCCTCCAATCACAGGGCCGCGTACCAAATTATTTTTGCAATTATTTAACGCTCTACTTGAAATAAGCTGCACTGTGTATTGTATTAAGCACTGTAGAAGTGTAGATCCCCTTTTGACTCTCCTTCTCTCTCTCTCGTCTCTCTCTCTCGTCTCTCTCATCTAAAGTCACTTTTTCTTTTCAATTATTTACAAAGAAAAAAAGCTCTATATATTTTGGCTATTGTTCTCTTTCTTCATTGTGTGCTCACAT